GCATGGTAACCTAACATAACCACAGCATAATGACCACACATAACCACAGCATGTTGACCTCACATAACAGCATGGTGTCCTCACATAACCACAGCATGGTAACCTAACATAACCACAGCATAATGAGCACACATAACCACTGCATGGTTACCTCACATAACCACAGCATGGTGACCTCACATAACCACAGCATGGTGACCTCACATAACCACAGCATGGTAACCTAACATAACCACAGCATAATGACCACACATAACCACAGCATGTTGACCTCACATAACCACTGCATGGTGACCTCACATAACCACAGCATGGTGACCTCACATAACCACAGCATGGTGACCTCACATAACCACAGTATAGTGACCTCACATAACCACAGCATGGTGATCTCACATAACCACAGCACGATGACCTCACATAACCATAGCATGGTGATCTCACATAACCACAGCATGATGACCTCACATAACCATAGCATGGTGATCTCACATAACCACAGCACGATGACCTCACATAACCATAGCATGGTGATCTCACATAACCACAGCACGATGACCTCACATAACCACAGCATGGTGATCTCACATAACCACAGCATGATGACCTCACATAACCACAGCATGGTGATCTCACATAACCACAGCATGGTGATCTCACATAACCACAGCATGGTGACCTCACATACTCCTCTTGATCTCTGTTACTTACATTTCTTCTTTCTTTGAGGACATAAACTTCTGGTTGTGTGACACATGGTCGGACCTTTTTCTTGGTTTTGCTTGCGAGTATAATGCAAATGGTGGTGGTGGCCTATCCGGTGGCTTACTCTGAAATAGTTGAATTAATCTTATATTACGTAAGTCACTGTGCCATTTTTTGGTGTTGGTGGTACATTTAATTTTAGAATATTAGAAGCGCATCTCTAAAAAAGCAAACATAAACCAAAATCTGCATTTATTGTACGCCAATTCCCATCACAGTTTTATTTCAGCCGTAATGACACGCCTCTGTCATTTGTGCAAGTCTATATATGCGATTCAAATTTTCTCAGTTTAGAACAAAAACAATTTCAGTTTATGTTAACTTTGACTGATTCAAATATGGCGCATTTTCTACACACTGCACTTAACCTTTGGTGGAGAAGGTGTGACACTCATAAATATATGCAAAATAAGAAGAATTGACAATGAGCAACAGGATATGGCAGCCATATTGAATAGTGCATTGTGGTAGAATGCAGCATGCAAGATAACGGCTGAACAATGTTGAAAGCAAACAACGTGCCGATCCATACTCTAGACACAGCGACAAAATTGTTGAAAACAGTTGTGATGCAAATAAAAAAGATTGTACCTTTGAAGGAAGTGTTTCAAATCTGGGTCTGAGGATAGGCGAGTTGGGTACACTTCTTTGCGCAACGGGCTGCGAGATATCCAAGTATTCCAATGACATGCAATTTGAACGAGTTGGAATATCTTCCGTTCCCTGAATGCAACCACAGTAATCAGTCAAAAATACAATGGCTTTGTAGCCAACAGATAAAATGCTTGGATTTGTTCAATTGCTAAAATTTTACTCAAGTCACTACGAAATCTATCCAGTTTGATTAGAGCTGGTCGATGCGAAATAAGAAAACACTGGCACATATTTTTTGGGGATATTTATAATCAGTAGTTGCCACAAACGTTTTAATTGTGTAAATAGGAATCTACTGTAAAATGACTAATTTCACTGGTTCTAAATTTCTCTAATTTACCATTTCAGGCATATTCAATGGGTTTTTAATTCACAGTTTTATCATTTAGATAACGTGTTCTATGCTAAATTTTACATATTCACTGGGTTTTAATTTAGCGCATTTTCCAGTAAGTGGAATAAGCAAAATTAAACCCAGTGAATAATTAAATAAACCCCTTTATGCTAACTTTGATAGTGACAACTGACACTCTCAGAGTACTACTAACCATTCAAATGTTTATATAAAACAAAGGCCAACAAAATGTAAATAAATCAATATGTACATCATTATTATGTCTTGCCTTTAACCAACTGTGAACGAATTTAGTCAAGGTACAACCGAGAAATGGCATCAGCAAATGCACACATGTATGGATAGATAGACAGACAGACAGACACACTGAATTGCATGTCCTCACATTGGACTATGGAAGTGTTTTGCATGTTTTGTAAATGGTATAAATATCAAACACGCAACAGTGCACAGTTTTTTTCTCCAGCCAAAGTAGTCATGTTGGCACATACAAACGTAATAAATTAGTTTTTTTACAAATTCATTTTTGTCTAGATGATGTTTAAATAATTTTGTTGGATTTTCAAAAAGGATGGTTATCTTGTCATGTTCATATGAGTCCCATGAGATGAATACAATGCATGTACAACACCGTGTTTATTGACATGATATTCCAATCTGGTGAGCTGCCCCTTAAATTTTTGAGACAAACGATAACGCAAACTCAAAAAAGCAAGACAGCATTTAAAATTCATGCTTTACATGATTAACAATCAGAAGAGCTATATAACTAGTTGGACAAGATTTAAAACCGGACATAAACTAATTCTATACCTTAGATTTTCCTTTCTTGGTGTCTTCATTTTCTTTCTTTGGTTGCATTTTTCGCATTGTCTGAAAATAAAACATGCCAGCAATCACTTGTTTTATTGTAATAGTATAATAATGAATGGATTGTTTGGTTTAAAGACTGAGGTGTTTGAATTATAAAAAAAGAAAGTGTCTAGTATGTGGTGTCCAGTTCACAGTATGTGGTGTTC